GGTTGGCTATATCACTTTCTACGTAATTTTTCTGGTGATACAAACTAATTCATTGTTATTATTATTCGAACCTAATAGATTTTGGGCCTCTTTTATAACGCTCTCAGCTGTGTAGAGAGAGACCGGAAAAATAATCACAGTATTCTGCATTGTTATCCACGACGAAAGAATCAAGTCTCTTGTTTTCAAAGCAAGCAGGTCGCTTTGCTTCCGGACTATGTTCACCGCGGATTGCCTGCCTTTCCCAACTGGTTGACATGGCAACGAGACAATCTCAATAATTACCATGTGTATTAAAGATAACAATTACTGGTATTCCTACTACAAACTCAAATAAATTAAATCCATTCAATTGCTTTTTAAATCTTCGAATAAGTTGATAATTTGCAACAGTAGAATTATTCGGAATTTTCTCTTAGATTTTTTCCAATCACAATGTCTGATTATGTGATTAATTAACTGTGAGCATTCATTATGCTTTTGTTGTCACGTTATGAGACTTGGTCCTCAATAATTCGTATTTCTTGTTGACAGTGACATTAGAAGAAAGAAATTATGAGGCAGAAATGTTCGTGAAATTTTCTGTAATCACAGAACCAAGCCATTATGACATTGAATCTCCATACGCTTTCCGCCATGTTACTTTACAGAATGTTGGCGAAAGGTATGCTGCAAATGCTGGAAGAATCATAGTCCCATATATTTCGTATGCACTGAACTCAGAATGGCCACTGAAAGAAATTCTGGGACCCGTATTTTAAGATCAAACAGAAGAAAATAATTACTCCTATTTTGAGCAGAAAAAACTCATCAACACACACCGCAGAAAATTAAATGTGGGGGCTGTGAGCTGTTTTCAATGAACGAATTAACAATGGATTCCCGTGTGCAGGTGGGTAAGAATGTATCCACCATAGCCCTTTGAGTCGTAGAAGGCGACGAAAAGAGAACCTGCTGTCTGGGGTTACGACTGGACTACTCTGTCTCTGGGGGACAGATATGGACCTCCAGGTTGGGGGTTGGACGCAAGTCTGATAACCTTGCTTTGTAAAAAAATTATTGTTGCGAAATCCTAATTGAAAACCAGATATAAATTTGCAGAATCTTCTAAGGAAGGGTATGACTAAAAAAGGGACGTTTTGCCGATGATGATCATGAAGATGATGCTGGTGTTAAATTGTAATCAGAAGGATACGACCATCACATTTCCGAGTTCTGAATATGCGATTTCATTCTGTGAGGAAACTACAAATTGAAAGTTTACGGAAACAACCCGCGCATTTCAGAAACATTGCAGATCGAAATACAAGGGATTATTCTACAGGGATTACGTTGTACGAAGCTGCCATGCTAGTGTAGCCCCGTAGTAAGTTTCCCGGAACTGCTCTTGGTCAGCTCACTTTGCAAAGACTTTTGTAGAATTGCACGCGTGAATTGAAGACCTGTGAAAGCCTCGGTGAGTGAACTTCAGTGTGTGTTAGAGAACTTGTTATGTGCGTCAATATTGGAGGACACTATTTTCAGCAGATGTTGTACTACAACTGAAGTAAAGTGGTTTTATTGATAACACATTTCGAGTGTGGAGAGAACTTTCAATTAAATTATGTCGTGCGGCAGTGGTCGATTTTGTTATCGGACAGAAGCCAAACACCGCCCGGCGTGTCGCTCTAGCTACGAGCGGTAGTAAGGCTCTGAGGAAAGAAATGTTAACTGTAGTTCTACGTAACTTGTTTTCCTGTAAGTTTCTGCAATGTACATGTACTGCTGTACCCGGTTTTTTATTTCGGTGATGCTGTAATCCTGCAACGTGGCGTAGTATGGTCTACAGTTTGCTTGTGACAGTCACATTTTCTACACATGTCTGTTACAACTATTGGATAATTAATATATACTTTCCGTAATATATTGTATTAATGGCCCGATGACGTGTATCTACCATAAAATATCAGTTTCCAAACAAAAACCTCCATGAAGAAANAAAACGAAGAATACACGGCGCCAAAACCCAGAAGACGACTTTCTTCATAGTCATCGCCGCGAAAACCTCAAAACTTACAAAAATCTCCATATTTAAGCCATGCATTTGACGTATCTTTATCGACTTCAGTTTTGCTTAAGAAAAATGAGTGACGGCTATCTTTTATTATTCCATTATTATTTTTGCCGATATTTATCTTTATATTTAAAGTTCTATACTTAGCTAAATAATAATAATAATTTATTTACTTATTCACATGCTGACCTCAACTGCAAGTGGCGAATTGCAGAGTCGTAGTAAAAATTATTATGATAATAAGAAGCCTGTTATTATTAAATGAATATTTGTGTTTGTGTGTTTTGTTTGTCTCTTTGCTCATGTGCGCTTTATAATTGGTCTTTGGGCTGCTAAGTAAGCATGTAAATGAATGGAGAATTGAAATGAACCAGAAACAATATTTTTTTCCTGTGGCGCTACAGCCCCAATTTTGGCCTAGGCCTACCTCCATGAAACTCTCCGTTTCACTTCGGTTTACTAGATCTTACACATATGGTAGGACTCCTTGGGCGAGTGATCAGCTCGTCGCAAGGCCTCTACCTGTAGACAAACACAGAAAAACGCACACAAACATCCATGCCCTGAGTGGGATTCGAACCCACGATCCCGGCTTCCGAGCGAGCGAAGACAGTGAATGCCTTAGACCGCTCGGCTACCATGACCGGCAGAAACAGTATTAGGGTCTGTAACAAAGTAGGGGAGGGGAAGAGGAATGCATATAGGATATTGGTGGGAAAGACAGGAGGAAGAAGACCACTAGGGAAACAAAGACGTAGGCGGGTGGACAATGTTAAAATGGATCTTAGAGAGATAGGATGGGATGGTATGGACTGGAATGATCTGGCTCAGGATAGGGACCAGTGGAGGTCTCTGGTTAACACGTAAAGAACCTTCGGGTTCCACAAAATGCTGAGTAGTTCTTGAGTAGCTGCATAATTCGCGGCTTCTCAAGAAGGGCTCAGCTCCATGAAGTTAATTAGTTAGTTAACAAAGTGTCAGTTTAATTCTGGATCCTTTGAAGATTATTTCCTTATTTTTCCCTCTTCACCCGGGACCCCGAAAAATTTTAATATTTTCTGAACATCGAGTAGGCATACTTGGATAAGCACGTGTCTATATGCACTATTTAGGTATATACTCATTTTTACTTTAGCGTTGTAATAAACTGGAAACAAACCGAGTGTGTATAGAAAACACACATTTCGTGAATACGCTCAGTGATTTCATGTTTACGACAAAGCAAAACGGAATATGCACCGGTACATGTACGAACATGTGCACAACCCAATATCAGATGTTGTCACTGTTCATAAAGAGAGCACAGCACGGCACAGAGAGCGGTACACTGGGTCGCCCCGCATTAGTCCACCTCCAACCATGTCAAACAGAGCTTCACATTTCCGCAAGTTGCCCTCCCGTATATCCGTATAATATTGCAATATTCGGGGAAGTTTATAAGACCCATCTCTGCTCAGGGCAAAAGAGAAAAAAGTATATATGAATTTTACTTAATTTCAGCTTCTGTTTGCATCCAGTACAACAGCACTGGAACTACAACTACACGTGTTATGAACATGAGATACATTAAATTGTAAAATCCTTTTAATGACTTTTAAAAGTCATTCAAACATCAATTTTAAATTTACATACATTCATATATGTCATGTATACGGATGGTCTGTCCTCCTTAATAAGCACGTCCTTCCTTTCTCATATATTTATTTATGGTATATGATTCATGGCCGGTCACGGTAGCCGAGCGGTCTAAGGCATACACTGTCTTCGCTCGCTCGGAAGCCGGGATCGTGTGTTCGAATCCCACTCAGGGCATGGATGTTTGTGTGCGATTTTCTGTGTTTCTGTACAGGTAGAGGCCTTGCGACGAGCTGATCACTCGCCCAAGGAGTCCTACCGTATGTGTAAGATCTAGAGAAACCGAAGTGAACGGAGTTCATGGAGGTAGGCCTAGACCCACTGGGGCTGTAGTGCCAAGGAAAAAAAAATATGATTCATGTGTTCCTCCTTAATCCAACTTTATACCTCTTCAATCAATCTAACTAGAAGCTAATTGAACATTTTTAACGGCAGACATTTTGTTTTACATTCTACAAAGAATACGTTAAGAAACACTGATTACTTTCTAATCCCTGTTGCAGTATAAGTCCAAGTTTCCATATTAAGTGACGCTGTTGGCCCTCGCGTTCCTATTGCTGATCATAAGAAAACAAACTGGTAAGAAGTTCGGCATCCAAGGGCATAACTTTAATGCCAAATTCGGCTTAAATCGGAAATTGGTTTAAAATAAAATGGAGAACACACACACAGACACCGGCAGATGTTATAAGGCTATGGCATTGCTTGCGAAAGGAAAGAGACTCAAAATGTGATTATAAGGAAAAATAATCTGTTTTAATTGTTCATATATTCGTTGCTATTACCTTACTGCATATGTCAGCAAATGGCCTTCATCTGTCGGAGTTCAACCACGAGTGTACACTGCTGCATTGATTTCAATATAAACTTTCATGTCGGGTAAAAGTAAGTAAAAGTATCCCTGTAACAGGCCGTGGAGGCCCATACGGTTGTGAGATGTTGAAGTTCCCACATTTTGTAGACAATCGGTTCAAAGATGGCGGTAAGGTTGTCAGGCTTACACGCCGGCCGCCCTTTACCCCCAAGAAAATTCCTGGTACTCATTTCTGTTAGAGTCTGAGTCGACCACAGGACCATAGTGCGGCCGGAAGGATTAGGTCAATTGAAAAAATCCAATGATCTCATCGGGAGTTGAACCCGCGACCTTTCGGCTTGCAGCATAGTGCCTCAACCAAGAATTGCCTTTTTAGATAAATAATGGAACCCATTCTCAGGTTACATAATTTCCTTGAGGACAAATATGTTTAATTCTTTAATCCTAAGAAGTGACTAATTGACAGAAGAACTGAACTTTGAAATTCCCAACACTCACCAGTCGGTGTTTTGATCGTCGATAACGAGCAGGGTGAAGCAACGGTCCTTGTTGTAGGCTGGTCTGCTTCCAGTGACGGCTCCTGCTCCAGACACTGCAGCACCTGCACCAGAGAATAGCCCTATGTCACTGCACAAGTCCGTGGTTAGCTACTGGCTTAATCAATAGCATATCACTTGACCAAATTTCAAAATGCTCGCTGCTGAAACTCGAAAGACGAAGGTAGGCCTACTAGCAGCACCAAAGAACTACCAGCTTCTTCTGAAAGTGTTTAACTCAGAGCTGTGGCAGATTGATCTTTCATCAGAAGAAATGGCAAAGGGTTAAAAAACGGGATGATTAAACAGACGAGGCTTCCTCCCAACACTCACTGAATCAGAGAACATTGAGAATATAAACAGTAAAAAGTAAAAAAGTAAAGCTATCACTGTAACAGGCCGTGAAGGCCCATAGGGTTGTGAGGCGTTGAGGGTCCCACATTATCTAGACAATTGGCTCAAAGATGGCAGAAAGGTTGCAACCTTACGCGCCGGCCGCCCTTTAATCCCCAGGAAAATTATTTAATTAATTCCTGGTACTCATTTCTGTTAGAGACTGAGTCGACCTCAGGGTCATAATGCGGATGAAAGGGTAAGGTCAATTAAAAAAAAAACAGATGACCTCATTGGGACTTGAACCCGCGACCTTCCGGCTTGTAGCATAGTGCCTCAACCAAATACGCTACCGCGTGCCCCGAACATAAACAGTATTAAGTATTTATAAATCTCTTTACGTCAGAGCTGCATCTCTCTCTCGCTACATCCCGCAACCGTCTGAAAGAAGATATAGATGTAGAGTAATGAAGCAAAGTGATACCCACTGTTGGAAGCCGTTTCCTGGCAACGCCTTGTGAAAACATAGAAGCCTTAATGTTTGGAGTAGTTATCTCTAGAATGTGTAAATCGGTGAGGCTGTTATAGCTACTTGTAGTTTCGAGTTATGTGTGTTCAATAAATCCAATTACCAAACCAAATCCCGTGTGTAGTCACTAACACGTGAGAGTATTAAACACACATGCAGTACGTATCTCTACAGGTGGAGAAATTAAAATTTTACAAGAGACTTTCAGCGTTCTTGCTCATTTTAGCTGCAATAATTTCATATTTCTTTCTGATCTTTTGTGCTGCTTAACTGTGTTACCGACCAAGGAGGGAGGAAAAGTACATATTCGTGATCCATTGCTGCACTCATCAGAGGAAGATTTGCTTTACAAACTCCAGATATCCGAAATATTGAAAAAGATCCTCTCATTCCATCTTGAACTTTTATTTATAAGCTAATGTTCAGGATGTGTTGTGATGTCTCTTAAATCTGCATGCCTCATATAGGCGTTGTTACCGAAGTAAGCATATTCAGATATTACAGTAATAAATACATTCGCAGTTTATTTTCTGTGAGTGAAATAATGTTACGGATCACTTGTCCACTCTCTTGAACTGATTGGCTTTAAATTCTGAATGTTATATGAATTACATTCTTTTTATGACTTTACAAATAAATCCCCTGATGAGGGACATCTCTCTGCAACATTGATAATTACGACTTTTCCTTTCCTTTGTAGGGAGGAAATACAGGAATGTAACTTTCCTACAGCTGAAGTTGTTTAAATGACGCTGTTCCAAAGAGAATTGCGTAGCTCTCCTACACGTCAGTACACATTAGATTACACTCTACATTTCAGATGAATGTCGCAATTAGAGGAACTGAAGTCGTATTCCTTAAGTTAATTTTGTGATAATTAATTTTTCAGCTGGAGTCTCTCCAAGGAGGAGGATGATACTGTCTCACCGTGAGAACCAGAAGGTGAATATTTCTTCTTCAGTGTTGAATACAGCCGAGATAAGAAAGTGCAAACCGATCATTTAAAATACGGTGTTCAAGACAGAAAGAAAAAAAAACATATGCTGTTCTTCACTTCCATTTCAAAGTTCAGTTACACATAATTCCTTAATTCGACGATAGCCGTCGTAATAGTTCATTTTTCTGCTAAACACTGAAATCGTGGTAGACTTAGAAGGATTCTGACGATGGTTTATACTGTACTTATTTTGGCTTATTCTGGACTTCACCCATCGTCTGGTATGTAAAAGACAAAAAACCCACGGCGTTTCGGAGACTGGACCAGTGATTGAGGCTAGCTCTTTCTAAGGGGTCCAACTGAGTAGGTTTATCCTTCCCTATCCACCTGAAGGCGGAGACAGATTCAGTCTCCGAAACGTCGTGGTGTTTTTGTCTTTTTGTCTTTTACATACCAGACGATGGGTGAAGTCCAAAATAAGCCAAAAGAAGTACTGAAATCGTGGTTTCGAATCCCGCTCGAGGCATGAACGTTTACCCATTTTGTCTGTGTTATCCTTTGGGTTTAGTGACGACTGCTCTTTCTAAATTAGGATTTATATAAAGTCTTTAGCAGACGAGAAGATGCCGGGAATCGGACTCTGACGCCAAGAGATGACACCGTGCTGACTTTACAAATCTGAGGTTATCATCTAAGTAGGCAGAAACGCTGTCTCTTTGTGGATTTCGGGCGTGTCGCACCAGAAATTTAGTCGCGTATTTATATTTGGTTACCACAGAACGTATAAAACCATCTGAATAAAAGACACCTGAACACAACAGACATGAAAGCTTCAGTTAAAATGGCACTAGAACGCAATGCATTTAAACCCATCTGTTAAAGTGATTTGCGATCACAATCTAAACATTTAAATTCATGGGCACTCACACACTTCAGGATCGTTAGGGAGATATGAACATATTTAAATTTCTGACATCAATAAAGGACTCCGAGGGTACAAGGTGCTCACAGACATGAGGCTTATGATTCATGCTACTGCATATCACTACACTTACCTAAAATGGAGGCGCCCTGGTCCCTTGCAACTCCGGTGAGGGACTGAACCCTCTGCAGCAGAGACTCCCTCGTCTTGGCTGGTGAAGATGGCGCACTTGTAGTGCGGGACCCTGGTCGCAGGTTCAGGGACAGGTCTCCGCCACTTTGTGACTGTGTTGGGGGATGCGTTTGGGGCGTTGGTGTTGGTTGGTATGCCTGTCCCTGCTGCAGACTGGACACGGGCTGCGCGTCATGCTGACTGCTAGTGGTCGAGACGTCATCCGGGGCGCCATCCAATTCCGAGGACAAGTCCCCGGACGAAAATCTGAGTACGGGTATACATTCAAATTGAACCGCAATGCTCGGTCAATAAATGAGTAATGGATACTGCAATCCATATACGTGTACATATACATATACATATGCGTGTACTTCTAATTGACAATTGGACAAACAGCAAGAATATAAATTAATTTTAAACTTAGGAAAATTATAAAACTGATGAGAGAAATCAGTAAAATTGTAAAGTAACAGAAAAGGAAAATGTACATTAAATTAGAGATGGTACTGAAATTAGCCAAATTTTTTCATTTCATTCATCAATGGTTCTACAGCCCTTTGTTGGGCCCTGGCCTCTTCTTCAGTTCCGTATTTTTTTTTGTACCGACGGTAGGATTCCTTAGACGGGTTATCAGCCCGTTGCAAGGCCGATACCTAAACACGGGACAACATAAACACAGAATAAACGCACACACTACACAGACATCCATGTCGGAGCTACAATTTTTACCTATCGTATATTCCCGTTACAGAGACAGACATATTTCAGTAGAGCTTTGCTATCTTCAGTGACGTAGGCCTCGTTTCCTACTCTCTTAAGTTTCCGTCTTGAACAAAATATAGGACAACACTTTTTCGTAATTCAGCATCTGACAATGCGGAGAGTTGTCTTGTGATCGCAGTTTGCCAGGACGAAAATTTGCTTCTCCAGCGGTGCAAAGCGCTCAGTGTTTCAGTGTGATTAATGTGTGTATTGAAGGAACTGGATCAATATCGGGAGCTGTATATATCGTGTAGGTTGTTTCACAACTAACTTACTCAGAGCAAAATCAAGGGAAAAATATTGTTCCCCTCTAATTTAAATTTCAGAAGGGGTAAGTTAAAACCTATGAAACATAAAAAGGATTTAATGGATTTAAAAAGCCGGTCAAATTGGCCGCATGGTATGAGGTATCAACTGTCTTCGCCCGCTCTAACACTGGGATTCGTGAGTTCGAATCCAACTCGAGACATGGATGTCTGCGTTTATTCCGTCTAACCTGACTGAGAACACAGTGGTTTTCCTCAGTGCTTTTAGACAAATTATACGATAGTTCTCCTAGACAAACCACCGCTTCCTTTTATTCCCTACCAAAACCATTTTTCATAATTATTCTATTAGGCGCTATTATATAAACAGGAAAAGTTACACATTGCGAAGCTATTATCGTATGAAAGGAGAACTCCCCATATCTTTTTAAATACTGAAAACGAGACAGACCTTTCAAAAACAATGTTCACTTTTTCCTCAGGCGCTCTGGACCTTAAACCAAGCCACGGCCGGTTCCTTCCGCATCCTCTGAATTTCATTATTCACTATCGTCCCATTATGTGGCAATGTGTACTCTGAGACGAGGACAATACAGTTAAATAAACCACAAATGCCTGTACACCAACCACTATTGTTTTCTCAGTTAAGTAAGTTATTCCCTAGCCGGTCATGGTAGCCGAGCGGTCTGAGGCATGTACTCTCTTCGCTCGCTCGGAAGCCTGGATCGTGAGTTCGAATCCCACACAAGGCATGGATGTTTTGTGTGTGTATGTGTTTATTCTGTGTTTGTGTTTTCCTGCGTTCAGGCAGGGACCTTGTGACGAGCTGATCACTCGTCCAAGGAGTCCTACCGTCTGTAAAATGATCATGAAACTGGAAATCAGAGGCCTGGGCCCAAGGGGGCTGTAGAACTAGTGAAAAAAAAATGTTATTCCGTAGCATGAGTTGAACTCGGCTTTTGCAATCGGATTTAAGAACGGATACTGTTGGTCAGTGAGTTCATAAGAAATTAAATCAAAGTCTACGGAAATACACAAACAAAAGAAGTAACCAATTCAATAAAAACTCAGCACTGAAACTAAATATGAAGACGTGATACATACCTTCGTTTCAGGTAATTAACATTTGAAGTGAAAGACTGTTTGAAACTTGAGAACGAAATCTTGACGGCTGACTGAGGACCGCAGGAGCGAAGACAACTGCTAATCGTTACCGGTACGCGGATGGATGTTCACTTGTTACCAGGTGCAACGTCGGTACTGCGATTGTCGTATTACGTCACGGACAAAAGAACCCGTCTTCGGGAGCACGCAATTGGAAGTATCACCAGAATGCGCAAGTCAGGTCTGCAAAGAGAGAAACAGCGATAAGTCAGTACTGCTCAGACTTGTTCCACGTAGCGCACACCAAAGAATAACCCAGCACTTCATGGCGCACGAAATCACATATTGCCATAAATCTGTGTTATGTGCGCGTGTAACTGAGTAGGATAAGGTTGTTTCTGTATGAATACTTAAGCATCACGCCATGGAAATATACGGGTAGTTAACGAAAAGCCTCAGGCTTTCTAAACATCCGAATAATTATCTGAGTGCTGAAGGAGGATGGTAAGTTCCTCGACCTTACCTATAATAGGTGTGTGCTGCCTCTACCTCAGGTTCCCTACTTTTGGCCACCATCCGTCTTCAGGACTCAGATTGTCCCAGGGATAAGTAAAGGGAATTGGAGGTTGAGTACAATGGCTTAAAACATTAAAATAATGGGGGGGGGGCGCCATAGCTCAAGCTGTTAGTCGCTGGCTTTCCACCGTGGCGGCCTGGGTTTGTGCCCGGGTCTGGTCAAGTGGGATTCGTGGTGAACAAAGTGGCCCTGGGGCGGGTTTTCTTCGAGTACTTCGGTTTCCCCTGCCAACCTTCATTCCACCAAATTCTCCATCATCATAATCACCCGGGGCAGACTATAACAGGCCAATCAGTGGCCGCCGTGCCGAGTGGACCCAGTTGGACTCCACCCCCAGTAAGCAAATTTAATTTTAGGGGGCCGGAAAAGCTTCGGTGACCAACTGGAGCCATTGGAAGGTGCGCAGGCAACAGTAGTATTAAAACTGTAGTTACAAAAGTAACATATGGTAAGGATACTTTTGAAGGAACCTGGAGTTTAAGAGTGGACAATGTGAATGACTGGTTGTCTCTTTAGCACTACTACATTTACTATTCAGAAACAAAACATGGAATTGTCGTGTTTACAGTGAGCACGTACCCTAGCATGCGACGTCAGACATTACGGTCAGAGGCTGTTCTTTCAGTGTCCTAGTTGCTTCGTTAAGTATCTGTAATTGAGATATTCTAACATGCATTCCTCTTCTCCCCATTCATGCTAGATACCCTGCCCATAATTAATGACTAGTAGTGTGTTTGATTGAATATTGTGGTATATTAAATTATTTACAGTATTTAGATATGTGTGTTTTATAGTTATGATGTTCTCATTCATGGTATGGAGAATATGCAGCACGTTGATTAACATTCTAATTAGTAGCTAGTAATGTGGTTGCTTTCGTGTTCAAGATGTACTTGAGAACTTCCGGTACTTTGTTGTGTACTCCGGGAGTTACTTTGGGAGTTGTGTCTAGCTGTGTTGTTGCATTTTGCCTGCTCTGTTTAAGGAAAATTCCTTGTGGGTACTGCTTTTCTGTCCTACCATATGATGATTGTAGCCGGTCACGGTAGCCGAGCGGTTTAAGGCATGTACTGTCTTCGCTCGCTTGGAAACTTGGATCGTGGGTTCGAATCCCACTCAGGGCATGGATGTGTAGTTTGTGTGTGTGCGTTTTTCTGTGTTTGTGTACAGGTAGAGGCCTTGCGGCGAGCTGATCGCCCGCCCAAGGAGTCATACCGAATGTGTAAGATCTAGAGAAACCGAAGTGAACGGAGAAGTTCATGGAGGTAGGCCTAGGCCCACTGGGGCTGTAGTGCCAAGAAAACAAAAGAGTGTGATAATTGTGTTTTCGTAATTAAACTGAATGCAGAGTTGTTTTTCCTCAAAATGTATCGTTCTTTTCTAGTTTTTGTTTACTTGGCTTCCGTCTGTGAAATCTTTCTAGTGTATTTAATATGTGACGTATTTCTCTGTGTGGAGTACTTATGACGTTTCATCGATTTAGTGAATGCATGTCCTGATTCGAGGCTATGTAGCCCGTATTTAAAGTTTTCTTGTTAGATTTGATCAACATATATCAGTCGTCTAGGCATCGCCCATCCTTAAGTACTACTGCGGCGTAAATGTGAATCAGTTCCTTCGGTCCTTTCGTGTTTATTAGGGTTCTGCAAGAACAGAGCCAGTTCTTTCGAAGTACATTAGTAAGCTGTGAGCATATCTGACTCTGTTTCAATTTCGATCATCAGTGTTATAGAAAGTATACTGTCGCCATGGAGAGAGGCGCCATGGATCGCTATCCTCTATATGACTCTCAAGCTCTCACGCTTCCTTCTTCAGGGAACTTCCCTCTATCCCCATGCAGTTCCGCTGTGCTCATAGCGATAATTTCGAGAGTAACAAGAGCTATGAGCCGGTTGACACAGGCCAGAATAGGAGAGGAATACCACAGTGCGCAAGAATTGGAAAGCCTCAAGCGCAGTCAAACCGTCATTCATGACACTTCTTTCCGTGGCTTCATTATGACTGAAACCGCACAATCCTTAGCTCTATATTATATAAAAAAAAAGAAATCTAGAAAATAATATGGTTATGCTAATTTCTGAGGTGGCATTACAGTGACATTACAGAAATCCCGAGAAGTTACTCTGAGTTTTCTTTTTTTAAGGCTATAGTCTTGGGTTGTTCTGAATTCGCCACAGAATGATCAGTCTTAAGAATTCATAATGATGCCCCACTCTGACAGGAGGAATATGTTACCAAAAGATACTAAGGCTATAAATAAACATGGATTTCTCGATAGTAACTAGTCTTAATATTCCAGTAGTTCATTAATTTCTCATATTTAACATCGCTCGATTCAGTAACACAATACACTGTCCGTTCCTCATATATCCTGTATTATACTCATTGAAAGATGGAAGACTATTAGTCAGAATTACGGTTTATTGTTCGGAATTCCATGGTAGTTTGAATTGAAAGACCGCCTTCTTCCCGTTGTTCTATATTTAGCATATTTAACATCCTCTCATCTCATTCGACGCTAAATATACTCTGCATTTCATACAGCATCCTTAAATAATCCCAGAATCAACATACACAAAGGTTTAATCCTTAGACTAGGTTTTGTTAAAATAGATACCGCAAACGGAAAGTGGGTTAAGGTGGCTAGTCCTGTAGATATGTAGGCGCCGTAAAAACCTCAAGTCTCACTTAAAGTCTGTTGCTAAGATATTCATGTAGGGCAGTGATGACCAACGTTCTCATGTACTCGGGCAAAATTCACTGATGCTTATGGAGGTGCGGGCGCCGCCGCCGCCACCACCACCACCACCACCACCACCAATAATAATAATAATCATAATAATAATAAAAACAACCATAATAATAATAATAATAAAACAATAATAATAATAATAATAATAATACATTTTTTCGAAAATATTTAACAGTACTCAGACGTTCAAAAATGTCTCTTTTCTTACAATTTGAATTAATATTAAAAATCAGCTCAATTATATGTGGCTACGGAGGGCGCCGGAAAAATATACCACGAGCGCCGCGTTGGACAGGGTTGATGTAGGGCATTCTTAATGTAAAGCAAGAGGAACAGGAGTTTCTTTCCCTTCTATGAATTGCATCGTTACGCTGTATGCAGCTTACAATGGACGGCATGCTTAGGGAGTGCAGCCTCCTTTAACTCAACTGGATCTGACACATACACACTCGTATTGTCCCATCATTTCGAGTAGACCAATATTAGTGCACAACGGATTTGGTCCAGCCCACTATAGAGAGAGAACAAAATGACACAGTGCACGTGATTACCATACCATCAGCGTTCTTTGAAGTTCGTTAACATGCCTATAACGCGAATAATGTAATGCAAATCGAATCTCAACATAATATCTGTAAGGGTATATGGGATAAACGGAAAACGTAAAATTCGTTTTATTGTGGATCAATATAGCCCAAAATATGAACTGCTCAACTCCTTTCCCAAGGAAATGCCCTCCATAATATTTCAACAGAATACTTGAACATATCTGTGAAGCAGAGAGATAAGTCCTTTGCGAACTTACGTAATCTATCGCAGATCAATTGGGGTGTAAATCGTAATTATTTGATAACTGTAAGCGTAGTTCTTCCTTATCGAATCTCACCAAAATTCATTAAGAGATTTATTGGATACGTAGAAAGAAGTTCATTTTTATCCCGTGTAATCTGGTATTTGTTATAAATCAAGATAAAAGAAGTCTGAATTGCGCAATTATTTTTAATGTAAGTCCCGTGTATCGAATTTCAAGAAACATTTTCCAATGTTTTAGGCTCTTATTCTACGTCATAGTCGGACTGGCAGTGAGGCGGGGGGGGGGGGGGAGAGAGAGAGAGAGAGAGACATGACCTCAACATAGACAGGTTTGCTCTGCGAAGAACGCCTGAAGTCTACGGCCTCTAGCCTAATGGGCCGTAATAGTGATATAAATGTGAACTAAGCGGGGGATCGAGGTGAACCCTTTGCGTTCCAATTCAGGGTCACAGACCGTATTTCACCAATTTATTGTCTGCAATTTGAGGAAACTTGGCAAGAGTTTCGTAGAGGGCGCACAAAGTAACAATATGGCTGCTGGAACTCTCAGACAGTACAATGTAATGACACTGTCCCCTCGGTGAACAAACTGAACACAGTGGGTAGACGTCGCCAGAAAGAAAAAAAGTCCAACAAATAAGGCAATGGAGAAGCAAAGTGAAAAAGAATTGTGTTTCTGGGAGCACTGGAAAGCTTCCAGATATGAAGAATGTTTCACGACTCGTTGCAGCAGACTAGACGCTCTCGGAACGCACATTCTGACTCCACTGCAGTTATTGTTCCATTTTCTTGTGACTAGAATGGACCCATTCTAACAAATTCTTGTTATATATACTTTTACTTACTTCAGATTCCTAAAGTTTGATTTCAGACCGTTCTACAAATTCTTCTTCCGGTTGACTCGTTCCTTCCTATCCCTATCTACAATAAGGGCGGTGAACATGGCAGTGGACGTTAACCTCCGCCTTTAAACTTCGTACGGACAG